GGAGTCTAACAACCCTGTTTGTTCAACCCCATTCATTTTAACAATCTTTTCATTGACGTTATGGGATCAGGAGTTTGTATTGCTGTTTAGAACATCACAGATGTTTGATATTTTCCGAATTCAGTTCGATCCAACTGGTGAAGATCGTATCACGGTTGGAGTTGCATTTTTATGACCACAATACCGAACCAAAACTCCATATGGGAATGCAAATTTCCTGAACAGCCATATGGCTGTTTATATTGAATTTATACTGAAATTGTAAAACATTCGATGTAATTTCTACCAGTTTTGACTCTTTTTGACTGGGACTCCGAGAGTGAGCCAACTGTGAACAATTTAGGTCTGATCAAACTCGCATTATACTGCTCTGCCATGTATATTAATTACTGAACTCAAGCAGTGCTCGTTTTATACATTAAACATTATGTTTTCTTTATTTTTCAGGGGCAGTGGTCTCAGTGAATGCGGACCCGAATTATGGTACCATAGACTTAAACTAGAAGAATATATATTTGGATTTTTGTTCAAATATTTGTGGTTTATATCTTATCTGCTATGAACGCGTAGCACTTCCCTCAGAATTAAGCTGCAAACAGCCTTCCAATTCTTTAAACTAAGTCAGAACTGTCGATAATGGACGCGTTTTTATCTATAGTACAAATTTACTTAAGGTAACGCCCGATTGTAAGATTACGTCGGAAACGTCGTCACACAGTCGAACGTTGTCACACAGTCTTTGACTAAACAGTTTGGAAGCCCAAAGAATATATATATTTTAACACTAAATGACCACATGTGATTCATGGTGAAATTTGATCGATTTTGTTGGAACAATTTCGATTCGATTTTATTTGATTGATCACGCTGGGGGCTTCACGGATTTTTGGTTTGGCTTCGATCAGCTAGCCAGGAGTAGTTCGCTTCTCGCCGAGTTCCTGCAATTGTTCTATGTCATTGATTTTGTGGTTGATTGATTGGTTGCTTTCCACAAACCCCGCAATAACTATCTTGACAAGTAATTAAACAAAAGGTGGTCTGTTCGGACACAGTTTTCTAAACAAAAGAAGTGCATCACAATACGCTTTTGTCTAATTTTTTTTTTCCCCTACAAATCAACTTGTACTTACGATCAGTTAAAAATCAAACATAAGTGGCCCTGAAACAGTATTGATAAATTAATTTATAAGCTTATTACAATTTAGTTTTATATTCACGCAAACTGAATTTCAGAGAAGTTGGCATGGATAATTTCATATTTTCAGATTTTGCGTTTGTTATGTCAAACAAATAGAATCAAATGCCATCATAGAAGAACGAAGAACAGACGAACAGGCGAGAACGGATATGAAAAACAACAACAACAACAACACCAAGATAAAAACAAAAACAAACAAACAAAAAAACGGACGGTTTAAACTATAACATCAACAATCAACTGACAATTGTTAATAATCGTATGGCGCGTTCCGTGGCTGAGACTATACATACAACCGACTTTTAAACGACCGATGATCATGGGTTGTGCTACCCGACATGATTATTAACCCTCTTTCTAGGCGACGCCCGTTTAGTCGACGGAGGTGCTCCCAGTCAAGGAAGGGTGGAGATCTACATCAATGGCTCTTGGTGGACCGTCTGCCACTCATGGTTCAGTTATCAACAAGGTCAAGTATTGTGTAATCAGCTTGGTCTTCCTAAACTTTCCCAAGTGTATTATGGAGCTGCTTTTGGTGAGGGCAATGGGTCTATTTTAACCCAGGAATACTACTGTCAAGGAAACGAGACGTCACTCCTCAACTGCTCTAAGACTGGTTACAATCCTTACTGCAGTCACTATCAAGATGTAGGGATTGCTTGCGGGCCGTTTGTAAAGGCAGGTATGTGAAGTTACGGGAAAATATAACCTGTGTTCCCTCCCTAAAATGATCCATGTTTCCGAATCGAATCTTTACTACAGTAGAATAAAATGCTAAGGGAACCATATGGCAAGTTTGTTTCATTTCTAGTTGAAATCAATGTTAAAATTATGACTTAGTTAACCTAACCCTATCCCTAATTCACTCGTGCGCTGATAAAATTACCATACAGACCCCAGGTTAGGGACTGCGAAAGGTCAATAGATTTTAGCGACTTTTCCAAGGCACACCAGCGAAATTTTAATAAAGTCTGCCAAACCTCTTTCAGTGTGATATCACAACCTAGTGCTTGCATCACTCATTATACATCAGTAACTTCCTTTTATAGCTTTAACATTCATGTAACCTCCCTTCCCCTTTCAATGCGCTTATATAGATCACCATGTTTAGGTTTCCATCAATAAAAACACGTCTTTCAAGTTTGACTCTTCGAAGTTATGCTCATGATGGTGCCCCTCTAGTATGTTATTTTTGTTCATAATGGAATTAGTTCCATCAATGCAAAAACGGAAGTTCAAATGACCAACTTAGACTAACTTTTTATTATTCAGTATGCGGTGGTCTTGTGAAGGAACCACTGGAAGAACTCTCCTTCCAAAGGGGTGACAGCATAACTGAGAGCGAGTGTCAGTGGAACATTGGAGACGTCTATGAACCAAATGGTGATCACGTGATTCTTGCTATTGATCCCGTTTATTATTGTAGGTAAGATACAGAGTCATTGCTTCGGGGTTTTTTGTTTTATTTAGCGTGTTGGTTATCTCGTGAGAAGGAGTTACTATGGTCTTAGTACATGTATTGAGTCTTCGTCGCACTTCTCGGTTACTGCAAAAATGACTAAATATATCACTGTGATGTGAAATTATCATTTTCAAATTGTTGAAAGCCCAACTAGGCCCCTTTCGCACTAGACGAAATTGTGCTTATTTTTCAAAAATATCTATATCATCAATTCCATGTTACAAGTAAAAACGGTTATCTTATTTATCCTTACAAACTTCAAAAGCATTCGGAGCAGGCCACTATTTTATGCCAAGGAGAGTCAAAACTGGCAGACCTGTCTTCTACTGAAGTAAGGAAAACATCGATTAAGTTATACTGTTTAATCGAGAGGATGCAGAAGGGGTCCAATTTCGTATGCAATGGACATTTTTCAGTCAGCAAATGGTCGAGTTTACTGGTTTGCAGGTGCGTTTTTATGAAATTCAGAATTTGGTGTAGGCAAATTTGTTGACATTTGTGGTAGAGTCTAATTAATGTTGACAGCCTTGTGCAGATGGACACATCTTAACACCTCCCTGGAAACAGCTGAGCCAGAAAGCCAGAGGTACAATTGCAACAGATCTACCAACTAAATGTCAATTGAAGAAGATTGAGATGAACTCAATACAAGCCCTACTCGCATATTCTTCGAACTTAAAATGCTATTAAATAGGCGAAATACTTTAACGTAATCAGGTGAAATTTCTTCAATGTCCATTTCAGTTAATTGTACCCTGTTTTCAGTTATCGTATATACGTTAAGGATGGCTATGGTAAGAGGCTTTTGGACAGATACTGTGGCCCAGATAAAGGGGCGTTTCTCAGTACTTCAACCCTGAATGTTTCTGTCGAAGTTAGAGCGAGGAACAAGTATAATACCTTTACTGCCCGATATGCCATTCTTAACGGCAGTATTGACAAAGGTAAGGAATTCCAAATTACTACCGTAGATGCTATTATATATGTCTCCAGGACTGCTTATGAATGGACTTTTTCAGCGATACGCGGCCATTTTGAATCTATTGCTTCAAATAGCTATTATAGCATGCTTAGGTGAAAAAATACATACTAATTTGCCCCCTGGGCGTCCCATTATAGCCATTTGAAGTAACAGAATTCAAAATGGCTGCCGAATCGCCGAAAAGATCCATTGTTTGACTTTGCTATTCTCGGATGATCATCAACTCAAACGTCCAAGACCATAACATTTATAATTTTCTTTTTAACTACCTGTGTCCATTTGCCTTAGTAATAAATCTATGCACGTACATAGTTTTACAAGCGGAATGTGATTTTATTTGGTCAAGCTGCTTGTGTTTAATTAGTAACGTTGTTGACAACTTTCATAAATTAGTGAAACGTTTTCAAAAAAGACATTTTCTGTTGAAGCAATCGAATCAATTTTTTCAAGGAGGTATTTGCAAATGTCGGACAGTTAAGATAATAGCGAGTCACATAGCGATGTAGATAGAGAGAGAAACCGGGTAGATCAAGGTTATTGATCGAAATGACAAAGAGCTCACCGAGCATCCAAGATCTTTAAATCCGTGCAAAGTTTTAGCAGCGGCTACCAAAACTATTACTATTGTTGTTTATTACTTTGCTTCAAACAATCTGTTCCGCTGCACTTGACCAGCTATATAGATGTTAAAATTTTAATTCGTTAAAATGACTTTTCAACAATATTTGCAGCACCACAGGTAGATGGATGGAACGTCACCGTCCTACATGTTTCACAATCGAGTATTACCTTTCAATGGCCAAATCTAACCGATGTTCTTGGAAACCGGGTCCGGGCTTATGTTGCAATAGTAGAAACTACTGATGGTAAAGAGATAGCAGGGGACATTGTTTTTCCAAACGTCACGTCCACAACGACAGGCAGACTTGAAGGTAGCACTGAGTATCGCCTCTTCGCTGCTGTCGTGGATGTACTAGGACAACCACACCGAAGTTCAGAAGTATTGATTTTTACCGAGGAAGGTGGTGAGTGTTTAAAGTAGAGCTTTATAAAACAACTGAGCTGTTACGCGCGCTCTCATTTGTCGATAAGTGTGTTTACATTAGAGTATGTAAAAATAGTTGTGACGTTTTAAATTCGCGCGTACTTTTAAGAATTATTTTATAAAAGCAATAGAGGAATTTTTTCGTGTTTAGATAATGTCATCTAAGGACGGGGGTGGGGGGGGGGGGGGGGGGGGGGTCCTCGAGGGGGAAGGGTTTTTTTTTAAATTTAAACAATAGTTTTGACCCGGCGTTTGCTCTAAGAGCACAAACTGCTCATCGAGTGAGCTTATGCCTAAGGGGATTGGCCACGAAAGGGAGGGGGGGGGAGAGGGGGTGTTGAGGACACATATAGAACACATATGGGGCTGGAAGCTAGGTCGTTAAAAAAATTATACGTTTTCAGAAAAAGAATGGCACGTCCCAACTCATTTATCACCTTTCGAAAATTATGATTCCTTTAGTATTGGTACAAAGTGTGTTTAATAAATCTCTTTGAACTGAATTATCACATCAACAAAATGAACTACGTTTCTGTTGTAAAGGATATACGTTAAAATGTTATTTGTTAATTTAAGATTAAACGTTTCTTTTTTTCTGTTTAGGAAATAGTATCGCCTGCTGCCGAGAAAGAGGAGAAACTCCGTAATGAAGTTGCCAGCATTGTTCAGAAAATCTTTCTTTTGCTGAATGCTTCTAACTGCCTGGTACCCTGTGTGAGGTGGTACACAGAACAGCTTATTGTCACTACAGAGAGCTGGTGCAATCTGAGCAGAACAGATTTAGAGTTTCCTTTGCCTTCTTCATTGGCTGGGTACGCTAATCGAGGATTCAGCTTTCATGAGAGAAGAGCTGGTAGAGGAAGTCACGTGTCACCCAAAAGAAAAGGTAACTTGCCGAGTCCTTTGTTTTGATTGGTCAATTCGGAATTGTTGAGTCAATAGAGTGGTAAATGCTCCTTCAAGAAGATTTGAGATTTTTACTGTGCTTAGAACATTAAAGGAGTTCGGTCACGGTATTTTGAGTTTTTTTTTGGCAGCGTACAGAATTACCTTTAAATTGAAGGAAACCTGAAAATAGCAGTTTGTTAAGATGGAAAAACACCAAAGAGATAATAATAAACAAAAAAGGAACAAGGTACAAACGACGAACTTGACAAATTGACGCTGAACTTCTCAGGAAAACGTGAAACAATAACCAGGGCCAGGGTTCGAATAACTAGACCCTTCAGCCACGTTTCGTCTAGTTTGATGGTGCAGTAAGGTATAATTAGTTTGAAATTATTGTATTTCAGGCAAAAAAAGTTCTGGCCATCGAGAAGATAAAGTTGATGAAAAGCTGTCATCTTCGATTGGGAGTGTCCTGTGCAGTTTTCGTGAATTCTGTTCGATTATGTGGTTATTGCATGCACGCGATAAGATGAGTAAATCATCCAGGAAATACAGACAGCTGCGGAGCCAATCAACGGGCAGTGAGGAGGTATGTACACGCTAATAGTAATTTCGTGTAGTGCTGATTATTAGGCTCTACAATGTAAAACCCCTAGTGTGTGACTATTCAAATGAAAGCTATTGAGCAGTACTTTCATGTGGTACTGTTTATTATGTTGTACACGGTTATTCTATCTTTCTGTAGATATAACCCTAATGTGGGACCATTCTATTGAAAACTGATAATCAGTTCTTTCATGTGGTTCTGTTTATTAGGGCTAAACAAGGTGACTCGGATTCTCTAGGTCTGTGTTTGATACCGCTCTGTTTTTTTTTTGTTTTGTTTTGTTTTGTTTTTTTTCAACTCTGCGAATTGTTTCCCATTTTCATACACCCAACACGTCAGAAAGAGATTTCTTATGAATCTGGAGAAAGAGATAAGAGCATCTATCTGTGTGTTCGCTTGTAGGCTAATGTATTCACTTTTTTCGCTAGGAGGCCTCAACAATCCACTCCATCTGTTGGGAGACCCTCCTCTGGACCACAAGACTGAGTCCTTTCAGTTCATTGCTTGGAGCCACAGACAAGATCAACGACACCTTACTAACGCTGTTATCCGAATTGCCACCCAGCTATGCAACAGCAGAACTGACCGCTCAGTTCTTTAACGACCCTGACGTGGTACAAACAACGAGTGGACGAGCTAAGTTCAAGAGGCTCATGGCTCAATTCCGAGGCGTTAGTTTGCGAGAAGATGGCAAGTTAAATGAAGACCAGGCAGATGAACCACTGTCAGTGTATTATCGCAAGAAGTGCATGGATTGGGAAGAGGAGCTTATGGATAGAGAAAAACTCTTTGGCAGAGTTTGCGAGCAATTTTTCGAGGTGGACGATGCGTCTGAGAAGGCGACAGCTGATGATGGAGGTGTTGTAGCAAGACATGGAGATCAGTCTGTAGCAGTGGGAACAGCTCTGTTTGAGACACAGCCGTCGTATTTCCAGTTTTTAGACACGTTCTTCATGATCACCGTCTCCAAAACTGTGCTGACACAACACAACAAAGCTCCTTATCCTGTACCGTTACTCTCTTCGTACAGCAAGCATCTCTTAGCTTCAGACACAAAGTCCCTGGCCGCGCTACAACAGAAAGTTCACAGCGATACTGCAGCTAAGCCCATCAAGGGTCCTTCCAGCCTTTTCAGGAGCCAGAGCTTCACAGATGTGCGATCGTCCAGGTCTAAACCGGAGCTCCCTCCTTCGAGCTTGGGCTCACAGGCGGAGATAAAGAGGAGCAGTAGCCTCAATGATGTCGCAGGATTAGACTCCCTTCCTGGGATAAGGACCCTTGGAAGTTTGATGCTTGAATTACTTCCGAGTCTCACTTGGCTCAGTAGATGGTCCTTAGAGGGTTCATCATTGCCTTCAAGTAATTTTGATGTTAGTATTCCTGGTGCAAACGAGTCGCATCCAGTAATGCGCGTTCATGTAGCTCTTCCACTACTGATCAACGGTCTGTGGTTGCTCCAGAATGTCTACTGGCCTTGGGTATCAGAAACAGAAGTTCTGGTGGATATCAAGGTCATCCGACCGAAGATTTCTCCACAAAAGAAGATCTCTGATGTCGCAACAGAGCGTCCTCCCGTTTTGAAAGATGCCACGACGCCTCCAAAAGGTTTGCGAAAAGTCTTGAGCGATTCCAACATTCAAAGGTCTGCAAACAGAGCAACGAAACGAAATAGCATAGCGGGTGAAGATCAAAGGTTACAAGACAGCCATCATCACCAATCAACTCCAGATATGCTTCGAAAATCTCAAGGTGACGCGAGGAGTGTGGCAGGTGAGACAACAGAACCAACCAGGTCTGTACCAACAAAGGCTAACCAAGAAGAACGGCCGTTCGCAAGACCATTACGTAAGGATCTACGAGTCACTCAGCGTCTGGATCGTATTCCCAAATCAAACAGTGAACCAAATATCCCGAACATTGTAGTACAGAGTCCTACAACGGACGAGGAAAAGGAGTTCAGTGGTGCGTTAAAAAAGCGACATTTTCTGCAAGACAATGGGAGACCTGTTGTTGTTCCTGGCAGCCAAACAACATATTACTCTGATACAGGTACAAATGTAATTATTAGGTCTCGTTACTGACACATACTAGAGCATGACCGAGCTTTAAAGGAGCTATGTCACGGTATTTTGAGTTATTTTGGCCACGTACAAAATTACCTTTAAATTGAAGGAAACCTGAAAATAGTATTCTACTGAGATAGACAAACACCAAAGAGATTATAATAAACCATAAAGGAACAAGGATGGTTAAGGATGGAGAAGATTGACTTGGATTACAAACGACGAACTTGAAAAGTGTAGGCTAAACTTTTCAAGGTGCGCAAACCGTGGCATAGCTCCTTTAAGGTCGGCGCGCACTCCTGAAGAGTGGGCATGTTGTAGCGACAGTTTTCCTTGTGTGTCATGTCCATTTTTGCGAAAAATGACTGCTACGGGGACAACATTTTGTCCACGAAAGATGTTGCGTGAAATTCGGCTGTTTTGGATTCGTGCGTCATGAAACAGGGACAAACTGAACTCATTTTTCGATGTCGCATTGTGTGTACTGCTCTTGCAAACTGACCTCGCTGCAATATAGAAATGAATCAATATCCACTTTGTGCGCATCAGCGTGCATACTGTCCATGCAAGGTGCGTCCCATGGGTACAAACGAAGAGGCTTGTCCCTGCTTCACGACCCCACAACATGGTGTATGCCGAACTTTATTTTCAGGGTCATTGCTATTTATCTACTGCCAATGTTCTTCTTTCTCGCTATAGAGTTAAGATCCTCGGTCAAAACAATTGTAACTTCTACTCCCGCAAAAACGAAACGCTCACGGAAAGGCAAAAAGAAAGAACGTAAAAAGGAGGTAATCTCAGATGAAGAGAAAGAACAGGCAGAGAAAAGATCTGAAGAAGATGCACTTAACTGGGAGAAACAACCCTTTCAAGGTAATACGTTCGATATAATCCATCAAACACGAAAGACCATGTTTGAGCAAATTTCCCACCCAAGAGAGTTGGAAATACAACACGTAGCGGAGTACTCCGAGGTCTTTGGAAATGCGGTTAAACACTGTCTTGAGCGTTTGATATATCTTCTCAATCGAAACTAAAACTAAGGAGAAAAAGGAGAAATAAAATCGAAGACCTATTCTGGAGCAAGAGAAGAATTTAAAGAGCGCTTGAAAAAATAGTAGATACAGTGCCTAATATGCCCATAAGAAACTTGGTTGTTCTTGATATACTCAACTTGTCACAGTTGGTTCACAAATTTCACCTTAACTAAATTTCGTCCTCGAATTTTGTCTCGAATTTTAGTCATTTCTACAANGCCGCCGACAGTTCGTGAAGCATGGCCGCTCTTAGAAACACCAGGGCGAGCGAAGGTTCCAAGGCTTATTCCTTTGGAGAAAATACTAGCTTTTGAGAGAGGACTCAGGGACAAGCTGGCACCATTTAGTGAGCCTGCACGCTACCCCTATGAGAAAGAGAACATACGACCCTCCGAGGAAAATAAAATGAAGTTAGTGAAGGCACATGCTGAACCTCAGGAGAATTTGGTACAGGAAGACAAGAGAAACACAGCTTCCAGGTAAGCCAATCAGAATGACAAAATAGAGAACGTTTGTAGACTAGCCACAAAAGACCACGATCCGGTTTTTCAAACACTGACCAAAACTGACTTCACTGGGAGATAGAAGGCACTATACTCGTTGAAACTACACGTATTGTGTTGGAGTTTTTGTCATCCATGTTTTACATTGCTTTGTAGCAAGGTTGCGTTTAGCAGTTTACGGTTGCTATGCCCCCTCTTCTATCCTGACTTGTTACCCGCTAACTGCTCCCTTGGGAAACAAATAGTTGGGTTTACGCTAAAAAAAATAGTGGTGGAGAGGCTTTTCTTTCATTTAAAAGAGATTTATTGTTTGTTTAAAGTCATCATTAACCAAACAATCAGTGAAATCTCAAGAACATTGCCTAGAGCATTTGTGCCTTTAAAGCACCTTTCTTTAGAGAGAGGGGTACGCAAAGCCCAAGAATAAAGGGGACGATAAAACAAAAATGATTTTATGAGGGGGATGGGGGTCTCGATTAATTATGATTTGGGGAGGATAAATTTGGGTGTTATTTTTGTTCTCTTAGAAATATCTTATAGCCTTATTGTAGGCCTTCTTTCCATTTACTATCCAGAAAACCACACCACGTAGATGATTATTTCCTAATCGCTTTCCTTACCCATTTTCAGGCAAAGAAGAAGGCAGGCTTTGGAAAAGCAGGCTCGACCTCGCTCCACGTCACCCTTGTTCAAGAGCAGGCGAGGACGGGCACCTTCTCGCAGCAAATCTTCACAGGGAAAGATCATTACTGTACAACCTGCAAAGAAAGCGAGAAAAACTGAGAAAGTTTTGCCCGTAAAACAACAGAAGGAGAAAGGTCCAATTCCTAAGAAAACCATACATACCAAGCAGCGTACGCAACAGAAAGAGGTTTCAAAGAAAGGTTTGAAGAAAAGCGTTACGTTGAGCGAAAGTGAATTAGAACTTTCGGAAATTTCCGATCAAGCTTCTGATGGTTCCGAAGAAGAGAAATATTTTCGTGTTGAGCGAAGTCCAGAGCCGATTGCTGTGCCTGATCGTGGCACTAAAGGGCCTGGGGCGATGAAAAGACGCAAAGATAGGGAGGAAGAATTGAACTCCGGGGAATTTGAGGAGATTATGCCGGGGCCGCCTTCCATGCGGTATATCAAGGAAAGAATCGGACGGAAACTACATGAAGTCGACCAGCAAGTGGCCGCGTATCGCAGGGGAAGTCCCGATTGGAGAACTTCTGTAGATGACATACGAAAGCCTTCGGAAACCCGCCGACAGCAGAGTACCGTGGGAATTCAAGTTGACGAAGGGAAACAACCATCGCAAGTAAAATCCGTGGGATTTTTTCAGTCGGGTTTGGTGGACCGTATCGGAGATAATGTTTTGAAAGTTAATTCCAGTTCTCAAACTGACCAGGTTTCTGCGCGGCCAGCTCCAGTGAGAAGAGACCTGGTAACGTCGGGCGTTCAAACGGAGAAAGAATCTTTTGATTCTGATCACGTGACGTCTCACGCGCCAGTTCTGCCACCGGACATTTTCCTTAACCTTCAAATGCCCAAACGTGATCAAGACACGCAGGTTGGTGTTGATATGATAGAGATCTCCGAAGGGCTCCCCCCTGAAGCTGCTGTGGATTATGACCAAGCTGCTACTGATCGCCCTGTTTCTATCCGAGGGAAGCAACTTGGAGTCAATGTAGGAAGTGAGCGTGACGGTGCCCCTCCTGGTGCACCGAAAATTCCTGAAACGACCAGGGGGAGGCAGTTTCTAAGTGTGGCTGATATAGATCATGAACAGTGGTTAGAGGTTCAAAGTACACCTATGACTTCTGCAGATGGAGTGGATGAAGAAAAACGAGAAACCGAAAGGACGGAGAGCGTTGATGCAGAAACAGCGCTTACATCAAGGACAGGTAGAAACCGTTTGTATTTTGGTTTATCTCTCTCCACAAACCCAGACTAAATTAATCGTCTTCACAGTCGTTTGGTTCATCCGTAAATCGCGCAACTCTCCAACTTTGAAAATGGCTGCGACGAAAACTAGGCTACAGTGGTCGCGTAAAGAAACAAGTCAATTGAGTACATTTGCTACACAGTGGAATTTCGATTTCTCAAACCCTCGTATTTTCGAACCTTCCGGTAACTCGAACCAAAAGTCCCTTCTCTCCCCTCAATCAAACACTGTAATTTTACCCCAGATTTCTCGAGCTACCCGATTTTCAAACTAATTTTCATTTCCCTTAGAGGTTCGAAAAATCGGGACTCCAGTATAACAAACACAAGAGGGCACATTTTCTCACATTTCTAGACACTGGGAAGAGGGTTGAAAATACGACATGAAGCGGGGTATTTTTGATAAAATTCGAGGTGTTTCGAAATGTGATGAAACAGTCCTCGTGCGTTTCGTATAGTTCTCAATCGAAACTAAAATTACGGAGTAAACGGAAAAATTGATCTCTTTTCCCTCAAGCATCAGAAGATAGCCAAAACTACGAGCCAGAGATGCAACAAGAGAGAGCCAAACAAGAATACGAGAGACATCTGGAAGGACCTGATAGAGTCACAGTAGACATGATGGACTCCATGGACGTCCCTATACAAAGGTAAACGATACGCCAGCAGTACAAAAGTGCGAACTTTGTTAGAACCACAGCACAGTATACTGTAAAGTATATTAAACGGTACCACATGGAAGTACTGCTTAATAGCGTTCATTTCAATGGTCACACACTAAGGTTTCATCTACAGACTTAACAGTTAAAACCGCCTTGTACAGCATAATAAACGGTATCAGGTGAAAGTACTGCTCAATAGCTTTCATTTGAATGGTCACACACTAAGGTTTTATCCACAGAATTAAAAGTTAGAACCACCTTGAACAGCATAATAAACAGTACCACATGAAAGTACTGCTCAATAGCTTTCATTTGAATGGTCACACACTAGGGTTTTATCCACGGACTTAAAAGTTAGAACCACCTTGAACAGCATAATAAACAATTGGAAGTAACTTCGATTCTTTTCCAGGCTTTACCCGCTTCCCTTCCCGACAGCTCCCCAGTCCAGTGCACGAGCTGTATCAACACAATTCCTGAATGAGAGAATGAAAGAAATGAGTGAAAGGATTGAAGCCATGGATCAAATCACGCACAATATGGACAGAGAGTTCAAAAGTTCTCGCGTGGTAAGCTTATCAAACAATCCCAGGGCTGTGGGGCTTTAGTGTTTCAAGTCAATATAAACCCTGCCTGTTTGATCTATTTTTATATTCCAGCTTCTATCTGCTATTCAGAGTATTGACGAAGTGTTAAACCCCTCATCAAGAGCTTCGTCCTCAAGGGGATCCGCAGAGTCCCGTCGGGGAGTGCCTCGGAGATGGGGGGACCCCGCGCCATGGAGAAGAGAGGGGAAAACTTCGGCTGAAAGGCAAGCGGCCACGAGGCTCCCGAAAACAGAAGGTATACTCTATATCGAATTGCTGAAGACATACGCTTGCTAGATAACGTTATGATTTTTTTTAAATTTTTATTACTAACAGACGTAGAAGACAGTATTGATGTTGATGTGGATCGCGCAGAAAAAGACGAGGCAATCGCCGCAACTGATGTTGAAGAGAACAAAGAAGGTGAACCTGATAATGAAGACATCGAAGAACAGATTGACGGCGAAAACGATAAACATGACGGAGACAGAAGCTTCGAACAGGACCAGGAGGACGAAGAAGTGAAAGTCGCCTCTAGCGAGGGGGAAGAAAAATATTCTGATCAAGAAAAGCCTCATGAACAGAAGCAGGATTCTTCAGAAACTGAAGTGAAAACATCCGCTGACAAGGAAAAGGCGCCCTCGTTCACACAAGATCGTGAAAGGTAAATGTTTTTCTAGTGAGGTAAACCTTTGCAGGTAACCCTGACAATCCACTAGTATCCATGTTTATTTTAATTCTCAGTTACTACGGTCGCTGTGACTGGTCAATTTAGCGGGTTAGGTTCTACTGTACGGCCCGCTATAAATTTGAAGCTGTTTTGGTCGCGTAATTTATCGTTTTGCTTTTGACGTACGTCAGTCATTTGAAGACGTTCCGCGTGACTTGAACCGTCCGACATACGGGAGAGATATTTGTATTTCTTACTAACCTCGTTTTCTCGGTCTCTACTGTAATACACGGATCCTAACTTTTTATCCCCTTCGATTCGTGGCCCGCGCGCTTTATGCTTCGGTCATAAGTCGAAGGGGGAAATCTCCGTCTGTAACTTACAGTACGAACCTAGAGCTCTGTTAGTAAGAGGTTTAAACTTCTGGTTGGAGAGAAGCACTGAAACTTAAGTGTCTACCCCTAGTAACACAATATGAAGACATTGATATGACACTCGTACGTTTGTTTGTGTTTTTTCCTTATCCTTAGGAGCGAAAAACCTCAAGCTTCTCAATTGGAATCTTTAACATTATCACAAGAAGAGCTGAAAGAAATATTTCAAGACAAAGAAGTGCGAAGAACTCGGTGGGTTGGTTGGTTGATAACTCGATTCTTCCATGACTGAACTCTCTTTAGGCAGGGAACAAATGCCACTATAAAACCTACTATTTATTTTTGAAGTGCAGTAGCTTGTGAGAAGTTGTAATGATAGTCCAAGGTCTTAATATCACGGGGATACTCGAAGCGTTGAAATTGTGCGGCTTATCAAGTCAGATAATTACCCTAACATGTGTAGAAATGACCACATCTCACATAGGTACTTTGCACGCGTTGCGTATCTATGATTACTAATAAATCCATTGTTTCCCTGCATGCAGCAGGGACCCCAGCCCTGAAGCCCGGCAGTACTTAAAAGAGTGGATGAACAAGAAACGTTCAGAAAGGCAAGCAGAATGGAGAGGCCAACAGGAAGAACTGCGAGCACAGGAACACCAACCCTTCATGTCTCCCACACAGGTAGTTACGAACCTCCTCTGTTATTTAACAAATAATTAAAGGTTGTCTTTCAAAATCGCGGGAGATTTCTCTTGTGATATACCGAAAAACCGACTCGGCTAAAAACAGACAAAGTACAGAAGAAATGTAAGGGAGAATTATGAGTCTTACTTCATTTATTTTAACTACTTCTGTTAAGGTATATACGATTTAACCCTGACAAAATATGGACATAAACATTTTCTAATCTCATAAACTGTAAGAAGAGTTTTAAAGTGAGAAAATTGTGAAGTCCTTCCTAGCTTTTTAAAGAGTTTAACCCGAGTGTTAGGGCGTTAGGTTATTAGGGTATTAGGTTAATAGGCTATTAGGGTATTAGGGTATTGGGGTATTCATGTATTGGGATATTAAAGTATAAGAGTAATTCCCGAATACCTCAATAACCCAAAAACCCAAAACCCTAATAACCCTATTCCCTAATACCCTAATAACCCAATACCCCAGGGCCGAGTTTTTCGAAAGCCAATTAACGCTAACCCAGGTTTAAAAGTTAACCGAAGTATTAATTTCTCTTGTATAAAAATGTTTTTTACTTCTTAGACTTGTGTAGTTTGAGCTTAATCAAGCTTAAAACTGAAAGACAAATATTATAAACAGAAAACCTCACCGATAAGTTACATAACTGAAATCAAAATTCTTGGTAATCCTTGGTAATCCTTAGTTCTTGGGCCCCTTTTATTTCTATTATTTATAAATAATCTTCCTAATTGCGTCCAGCATTCCCAACCAAGCATGTACGCCGATGATACTAGTGTTACGTTTGCTGGTAGTGATGTTCATAACATGAATAATTGTATTAATCTTGATTTGGAGAGAATTCGTGTGTGGCTTGCAGCCAAGAAACTAACTTTAACTATGATAAAGACGGAATTCCTACTAATTGGTTCTAAGCAAAGGTTGTAGTGGTGGGAAGGTGGGGGAGGAAATCAGGCAAATTTGTCGCTTCATTAGTTGTGTGCTTCGAGTATGCGCAAACTAGACTTCACTTCGTGTGTTTAAACTTTTTGCGTTTCTTATTCGTTTATTTCCAGGGCTCCACAAATTTTAAAAAGATGAAGCTGATGGAAAAAGAGAGAAGCGTCAAACGCAGGTATTGGGTTAAATGACTATTTTGTATAACGTACCTTTTGTGGCACAATCACGCAGAGGTCACGCTATAGAGGTAACGCAACTAGACTTTTCTGTGTTTCGTTACCCTAATTATATTTGTGATCTGAGGAATCCCTCTGATATCCGATTTTTTTATTGTTGAATTACCAAGGAAAACAGAAGACCAGCATAAGCAGAAAAGGCTCGAGTCCGCGTCCAATCTCCTCTCCGAGATGCTGGCCGAGCCGGTTCCCAAGCCCACCGAGCCCAAACCAAATCTTCGTTACGGAGGGAACTTGAACTCACGTCACTCAACATCGATTACAGGAAAAAAGAAAAGAACCAATGAACGAAATAAAAAGTTACCTAAGGCTCCGCTTAAAGGCAAACGGGACCGGCAAGTAGAAAAATCTGCTCACACAAAAGAAAATGTTTTACCCGAGAAACAGGGTCTTGTAGATGTGGCATTTTCCGATGATATCGCGAGACACGGACGTGAAAATATAGGATTTAGATCTCAAAATACTCCTCGGCACGACATTATAAGAACCAGCAGTCCAGTCTCTACAACTGGGTATGCTTCAGGGAGACCACAAGGGAAAAATGTCGATGAAGATCACAGTGAGTTTATTAAAGAAAACCAGTTACCCGACGATGACTTTTGGCGCTCGAAGTCTCCGACCGGCGCCGAGTTTGTAACGACACAGACATATCGGAAGTTCACGAAGGAACAACCTAAACGATTTAGAGCTAGAGAGGCTGCCATGAGGAAAACTCCACCTATGACTCTAGGTGGGTATGGCTTATCCCGGCAACCTCAAGGCACAACTACTATGGGGAGAACATTCCAAAGGACACGGCCTACTGACTCTCTCCTCCCTGGAGGGGAGACTTTAACGGAAATAGATCGCCTGCTCGAGGATATTCCCGATGATGGTTCTACTTTTGACCAAGAAAACCTAGAAGGAATAGAAAGCTTGTTAGAAGGGGATGATGAACTAAGAGACTTGTTATCAGATGTGGATTGGCGCGCTATCAGTAAGGTAAGAGATTGTGTTATCACGTGGTAGCAACAAATAGGGGAGGTCACGCAGGTTACATCTCGTATCATGAAACACGTCTAACTATGTCATTGACACACTCGTATTGCACCTTATGCAACGTCTCCTGTCACGACTAGTGTCACGTCTCGTGTCACATCTTGTCACGTGTCTTTTTATGAAGTCACATTGCTTGTCATGCTTGATGACACGAATCTTGTCACGTGTCATGCCATATTTCATTTTTGTCACGTCATATGGTATACTCTATTTCATTTTGCCATTTTGCTTGTCACGCCCCTGTCACGCCGAGTTTCACCAAGCTAAATACTAAATTTTGTGGCCTTTTCCGTACCTTTTAAAAGAAGTGTTAAATCTTCCTTCACGGTAGTGGTCAAGTAATATTAGTCAATCATTGCTGTGGTAAACATATAAGAGTTCTACAATCCTAGACAAAAGTCTTGGGACAAATTTGCACTTTTGGTGCTTTTGCGCACGCGCCAGACACGAATACAACTTCACCTGCTTAACCTCGCCCCCCACCTCACATACAATGTTGAAAACTAGTGCCTGCAATTTCACCTGATTTTGAATATTGTGTTGGGTGGGGAGGGGGGTCAGCAACGCGTTTTTAAAAGGATAGCAGCGCTTTTTTCAAACTTCAGTTGTAAAAACAGATAATTCGTTACATTACGTAAGTGTCCGAAGGACTTTTGTCCGCGATTGTAGCTTATTTATGTCATGCAAACATTTCCTGTTGAATAACAACGTAGTTGCTGGGTAAACACCTAATTGTTAACGTCAGAGTAAGGGTGTTATTCTTTTTTAGCCTCAAAGGGACAGTTCTGCCAGACCAACCAGAGAACGATCCAGTCTGTTTAACACAAGACGAAAAGGTAAATATTTCATTCTTGTGAATAGCAGAGTAGTCCACAAAGCCCCCAATTTGGAATTTAGTTTTGCAACATGGTTAGTAATTAGAAGCTTGTGAATCCAAATCTGTAAGGATGTCCGTATCTACGATTTCTATTTGCGTGATGATTCCGAACTCCTAACGAACGTGTCCCAAAGATGGTATTGGTCCCAGACTTCGCGGTTTCTTGCCGTATAGGAATCATTCAAAATGGTGGTGTTTACTAAAAATGTCGAGTCGCGTATATTTTCCGTGTATTTTACGATCATTCCTCTCCTTAACCGTAATGGTCATACCTCGTTTGATCAGCTTCTTATCAATGTGCCTTATGTATTTCTGATTTTTCAGATGATTGGCAACCAAGAGGTAGTCAGGACCAGAGGCATCGCCATCCTGAGCCTGCGGTGCCTTCTAGCAGCAGTCTGTTGCCGGAGTTTAATGATGAGGTCAGCCCGTGGAATACAAGACAGAGCATGCGCACGTCTGACGATGTTGCACAGCTCTTGGTGAGTGATAGAATTGTTGTTGTATCGATGTACAGTCGGGCAGTCTAGTCTCGTTCTCAAGGATTAAGAAGGTTTTTGCTAGTTTTGTTTTCCTTTTTTTGGACAAGAAACTACTTTACATTGCTTCTCTGTGGCCAGGTCTATACATAAATACTGGCAAATTAAATGCCGGGAGAAGGGAGGACCTAGCGACGGACTAGCATTCCATCAAGGGGTGGAAGAATTACTCGTACTCGCGGTTTCATCCTATTGAAACCGGAGATAAGCACCGGCCGGATGGGTCACTATGCTAAAAGTTAGACTTTACCTTAATTATTCACTTGTGTGACGTTACTTTTACGAGAATTCTCACATAGCTAGTCACGCAATCTTTCGATAGGATTACGTGACGGAATAGGATGGTGTCTTCTTATAAGATAAGGTGTTTTCCTGTTGCGTTACAGGCTGAAGTTGACGAGGCTGTAGGAAACATGTCGGAGAGTACTGGCAGTACCAGAAGTCAAATTGATTGGGAAGAAGTCGACAAAATCATGGGCGAGACGTAGATCTGGAGAGCAGCATGTTTATTATGTTTAAAAGCAAAGAATTTGGTAATACCTTCAAAGTCGTCGAAACAATAGCTAGAAATTTACCATAGATTTTGGTTAATTATCCAATGTGAAAGATTATAAGCGCAATATTACTCTCCTGGCAGGTGAGTAACTAACTTATTATTGATCAAAGGACTATTTATAAGAAATTTAACGTCTGCAGTAATTTGTTTTGTAAATTTTTAAGGCAATGCGACTCGAATTTGTTCAAAGTATCCTCTTCACGCTCAAACAAGCTCATGAAAATGGCTGTAATGAAATTAAGGTAATATTTTCAAAGAAAAATAAACAAAAATGTACATTGGACCAGAATTGAGATATGAGTATTTATTGAAGTGGTGGTGCCTTCATACAAACATTGCCTGCCTCTTTCTTGGCCGTTTCCGTAGTTTCGTTCCCAGAACCCGCGCGTTTTCGAATTTTGGTGATAAAGGGATCGCGGTCCCTGGGAAGGAGATTTCTGTTTCCATGTTATTGCAACTGAACCTACACTGCATGCAACGAGATGCGTCTGATCGACTCTACCTTCTCTTAATATTTTCTCAAATTCTCCCAACTACTTTTTTAGCCCCTACTTTGATGTGCTAATTTAATTTGTGGTTTTAATCCTCGGAACGGGAGTTGGACTAACTATGATTTGGGCAAAATGCGGGTTGGGAAACCCCCACGGTTACAAAGTTACAAAAATTACAAAATCGTGCTGCCCGTGTTATAACTTTTTCAAATTACGATCGTAGTACCAATGAATTGTTGCGAATGGTGAACTGGGTTAAACTGGACCGTGAACGCCTTGAAGATAAATCAGTAATGATGTATAAGATTGTAAATAATATGGTTCTGGACTATCTTAGTTCGCACTTCATCTTCCTTTCCGATACCTTAACCTATAACTTTAGAGATAGTGACTGTTCGCTTGCCATTCCACGACCCCGCACTAATTATTGTAAAAGAAGTCTGTCCTACAGCGGAGCTGTACTGTGGAATAGTTTAC